AATATATGTTTATTGTTTAATCATTATTTTTAATAGGCTGCTAAAACTACATTTTCTCATGTTTGTTTAGAGAATAAAGTATATTACAGTATGACTTTCAATTTAACATGTTTAATTATTTAAATTATTATATTTTGTCTTATTTATTTTATTATATGTTGTTTATTTTATCATGACTTCTAAAGCTACATTTTCTAAAGTCTGTTTGGTAAATGTTTTGAGAATAAAGTACTATGAAAAATAGGGCTGTCAGTTTGTCATGTTGATTTATTTATATTATTAAATTAGTTTTTATTTATCATTTAGTTTAAATATTTTTATTATTTAATCATTATTTACTAATTTCTTTCTAACGCTAATTCTTATGTCTATTTGGTGAGTTTTTTTAAGAGAATAAAGTATTATTAAGAAGGACTGTCAGTTTTACATGTTGATTGAATTATATGAATTATATAATTAATTGTTTATTTATTTATTTGTATGCATTTTTAGTATTTGATCATTATTTATTTATTGACTTCTAAAGCTACTTTGTCTAATCACAATTACATTTGGTGATTTACTTGTCTGACAGAAAAATGTGATCAGTTTGATTAATAAGTGTATCATGATGTGATTACATTTTTAATTGATCGACAGCTCTAATTTAAACTCAAGCAGACTGTAGGAGTTATATGTACCTATTATACATATAATAGGTACATATTATATGTATGACAGTGAATCTGAGCATGTTTGTCTCTGGAGGGCTCGTGGATGAGTCTGACCAGCTCCTGCTCAGGGAGCGACCGCATTTCGTTTGCTCTTATCAGCGGCTCTGTTTGCAGTAATTAGAGCCGTCCACTTCAGTCTGTGTGTGTCCAAACAGAAGCCTTTCACAGAGCCATAAAGAGATGCTCAGAGCCCATTTTATAATTGCTTGCGGTAGTAGATCATCATAAAGCCTCCTAATGGAGCCTGATGCTTTATCTTGTGGCTGGCCATTCTGTGAGTGAGTGAGTGAGTGTGTGTGTGTGTGTGTGTGTGTGTGTGAATAAGGTGTGTGGTGGCTCATTGGATCTGTCTGTGGTAGATAAGAGCACACACTCTGCAGGCCATGCAGGATTCGGGTTTTGGCGGTTAGTCACGGTCCGCTGCACACTAGAGGGCAGTATTAGTGGCACACAGGAAGACTATTTACAGTCAATATGAAATCCAAATTGACTTGATGTCCTGACATGCACATCTTGGTCTTTTTGTAGTCTTATTGATTCATCAATGCAGATTAATATAAAGATAAAAATAAAAATAAAGGTCTTTGTAATCTGTGACAGGACTGTACTAACGTATTCCACCTCTGAAACAGCTTCTTTGTTGCTCATGTCGGCAGTCTGTCCTCTTTCAATCTCTCCAGCTTGTTTGTCATATTTTAGAGGTGAAATATGTTGCGATTGGTTTTATTTTGACTTTAAAGCACCTTTGTGGTTCGTGATCAGGGTTATTAAAGTTAACTAAGACTAAAACCATAAAAAAGTTTGTTACTCGAAATTAAAATAAACACGGAATAAAAACGGAATTAAAATTTTTTATTTCAGCTGATTTAACTTATTTCAAGGAAATATATAAGGCAAATATAAGGCAAGGAAATATTTCTCAATTTCAACTTTATGTACTAAAATAACAATTACAGACAAGAAATAAAATTAAAATGACAAAAATTACTAAAATTAACAAGGATTAAAATAAAAAACTTTAATAGTATCTGAATAATACTAAAATGACAATGTTTTTGCAGTCTATTCAGCATTCATGGACAACAATTCCACTAAAGCAGCAGTATGGCGATTGTGTTCGTGTTAATGTTAATTAATTTCTAATATTTTAAACTTTTTTTTTTCTGTGACCTTTTGTGTAAAGCAGTTATAAAGGTTCTAAAAATATATTTAAATAAATGAAAAAAAAATGAAACATTTTTTTTCCCTTTCTCTGTTGCATTCATTTTGTACTCTTTTTATGTAGATTCATATTTACAAAAATAATATATATAT